AAAATGCAATATTCAGTAAAATAAGTACATTGTATAAGTATCTCTCTGTGTGTATGTATCCATACAAAAATGAACAGATAAAATGTGTTTACACAAGCAGCTGGGCAGCAGAACTGCCAATGAACATTACTCTCTACATCAGCTGCTAAGTACTCTCCTTAAAAAAGGGCTTTCTCAGAGAACTAACTAAAATCCTAACAGACCAGAAACACAATTTAACCAAAGGTCTGGATCACTTGTTTGCTGACTTTGCTAGAGAACAGCTCAGGTTGAAGAGAATTTTGTTGATGCTAAAACTTCCTTTGAGTCTTTCATATTTAGAGAAACATATTCATATGTATTTCTATATTTGTCAAGGTGAATAAGCATGTTATATTTACATTGTGCATACATTTTAAGAAGATTTACTGCTGATCATCCAGAATGAATAGCTATATAGGATGACATACTTATCATTAGTTTCCTTTTTGATGCATGAATGTTAACAAGAAAATCCAATTCTAACTTCAGAATATTTAAATTATTTTCCATTTTTTACTGACGATACTTTGAAATTTTATGATTCTCTTTTATAAGATATTAGCCAAAGGTCTAAGACTGATCTTGCCTCTAGAGGGGTACATAAAATAAAAAGAAAGACAAAATTGGGACTTTTTAATATGTGGATTTGATAAAGTTATGCCTTAACTGCTGCTGTCAAGAAGCAGTTACTGTTGATTATCTGAAAATTACTTGTGGAATTTTCATTAATATCATAGTTTAAATCTCTTCTGAAAGAAATGCTTTAACTTTTGTGAACATGGTGAATATTTTATATTTTGCTATAGAAAACAGCATTCATATTTTCAGCAAGAGAGTGTCCTTCCCACACCTCAAATAACATATTCAATTGAAAATATAAGCATGACATTCAGGCTTCATTTGCTGTTGGTGTCTAGCTAAAAAAATATAAATTGATAAAGACAGAAAATTCTAATCTGATGCCCTAAGGCCAGATCCAATAAAACACTTAAGCATCTAAATTTGGTGTTAAAGCAACCAGTGGTGATGATGGTACGAGCAGCCACTGCCTCCAACATCACCCCAAAAAATTGTATGCAGCTACCTGGAGCTAGTAAGTACAGAAATACTGTCAGTAGAACTGAGCTATAAATAATACCTTGCAGACCCAAAACCACCTGAGTCCAGGTTGTAAGGGTAAAGGGATGTTAAAATACTTTTACAAAAACCACAGTGACTAAGGATACTGCTCAGTAAATACGTCACAAGTTCAATTCTTTCTTTTGCCTGGAGAGAATTAGGCTCCACATCTCCAAGGAGGGTGTATGTGACTTTTAAACCAATGGTTATTTTGAACTTTCTTTTTTTGAAACACTTCAGATCAATGAGCAAAAAGAGGATCAGGATTCATCAGTCTAGTCTTTATGCTCTCTGTTAGTTCCTCTTTCCTAGGCTATATCCATGCTTAGCAGATAATACTGAACAGGTATCCAGCTCCATAAAATACACCAAAAATCTGCTTCTCACAGCTTCAGACTGGAAGGCCTGCAGGATATCACATGTAAGCTGCACAGGGAAAGTGATGAAATATACCTCATCAAAACTGAGGGACTATCTAGTGCAAACTTTGTGCCACAGAAACTTGAAAAGACTTAAAAGTCTCTTGACATAGAAAACTGAATGGATCTTTACTAATATGACTCCCATATTTCACATAAGTCCTCCTTGTTGAATCTGACCTAATAAACTCAATGTCCACCATCACATAATCCATAATTACAGATTACAAAATCAGATACTTGATTTTGGCTGTCAAGCACTTGAACTGACACTGTGTACTTGAACTTACCTCATTTTCCCCAGGACCATTTGCATTTCTACAGCCTGCTTTCAGTAAAATTGAAAAAGCTGTTATCTTCTAAAAAGCAAAAATCCTTTGAAAATCTAGGGTAATTCACTTAGTGTGATACAGATGATGACATCTTGAGTAATGTATGAACTGTGAGGCTCAAGTGCTCTGCAGTATCTCCTGCAGTCCTTCCTAGTCCAGACTGGGAACTCAGCTGGACCACAACATACCCATAGCAAACCTAAGTTTCCTTCTTAGGGAACTCAGGGAATGAGTGGAACTTCAGATGTGTACATTGGGTCTTGACACAACATGAAGCTAGGATGCAGCAAAGCTGCACACATGGATGAAGCAGCTGTAAAATGACCCTAAGATCCATGTTTTACACATGGCCATTGGCAACAACTCCTCCAGTTTTCCTGCAACAAATAATGACCCAGAGCCTGACGTGAACTTTCTAGTTTTAACAGACAGATCCACAGAACCTCATTTGATTGTTGGTGTCATAATAATAACTGGACTTCATGGAAGGTAAGGTCACTCAAAATTCCTCATACCAGAACCTGAAAGTAGATTTTTAAGACAGTCTAAAGGAAAAAAAAATAAACAAAAAAATCCACGAAAACAAAAACAATCAAAACTCCAAGCAAACAAAAAATCAAATACCAAACAAATCAAAATAAAAAATCACAAAACTGCACAAGAGCTTTACTGGTAGCTTAAACCACTCTAATAAAATAAACTAATTTTTGCTATTAATACTAATTCTTGCTGAATTTTGAATAGAAATACATATGATCTTTGAAAGACTTATTCAGTCTGCCAATGCCAATGAAGTGTTTCTAATCATATTACACCATGTTGCGTGGACTGGGTAAATTAGCTCCTTTGTACTGTTTCTAACAGGTAAATGGATTTTCTCTCCTGTATCCAGCTCATAGATCAGGTCGAAAAAATGATTCACTCCTCTCACATTCAGAATTTGTATACAAATACAATACCAAAGTATGTTGATCAGTTGGCTCTGTTACAACTTTGTTACCTCTTAAAATTCTATATTGGCTGTAAATAAATTTTCCCTGATCTCAGATCACTTCAGAGATTTTTTTCATCTTTTCATTTTTTTTAATGGAAGAGGAGACAAGAAGAGAAAAGACAGGTTCTTCTTTATTACTTTTTTACGTAGGATTTTCTAGGTTCCCGGGTTCGATTAAAAGACATTTTAGTTGCAGCTAGTAAATTTCTACCAATGAAATTAATTTGATTGGTTAAAAAAACCATCCATTTTTAAATGTTTCATGATACTTACTTAGAACTTTTGATTCCTTTCCTTTTCCTTCCTCCCTCCCTTCCTTTGATGAAGGTGATGGAGTTTCAACAATAAAAGTGCCACCACCTACATGTGTGCGTTTGCATTTTTAAATATGGTCACAGTCTGACTGATTTGCAGGGGTAAAACAGTTTCAAAACCTGATTGCAAGCTCACAGTGACAAAACTAGATAATTACTATCTCCACAAATATCTGTAAGTCAAATCACTTGTTTTAATACAGATTGGATTAGTACTAAAGGTACAAGATTGATATGAGAGACATGATAAATGTAGTCATGACAGAAAACAATTTTTAATTTAGTAACCCCTATCAATCTAGATAGCCCATGAATATTTACCATTAATTCAGTAGGCTAGAACAGAGCAGAGGAAAAAGAATAAAAAAAAAAAGAAAAAGAAAAAGTAGGTTTGACCTAAACAAGGACTGAGGAAAAAAAGAGAATTCTCAGCAGTTTTACTGAGAACAGATCTTGCAAAACCTGGCAAAATACATTTAGGATATCATAATTTAAAAAAAAAAAAAAAACAAACTTAAAAAAAACCTGAATGACATGCAAAAGTAGTTGCCATTCTTAATATGTACTTCTCTTTGCAGAACTTTCCAGTTGGATTACAGTTAAACAAGTAACTTCAAAGGCTGAAATAAAATCATTTATGGAAATTCAAAACAAACCTATTTGATCATATCATACTTCACAGCAGGGATACAATTTGCACAGGCTGGGTGAGGGCATAGTGTAAGCAAAAACAGGTTGTGTGTGCAATGAACCAAACTAAATGGTTTATATAAAAGAAATGTTGTTTTCATTAATTTTTCTGGTAATCTTATTAAAAACACCACCTGTCCAGAATAGAATTGTCCAAGTTTTAATTCTTTTTCATATCTCAGTGTTTAAACACAAGACAGAGGAGGTATCATCTTATAGCTATTAAAATTGTCACAAAATGTCTTATTATGAAATCTTCGTAGCAACAGCAGTTTCTCCAGCTCTGTTTCAATGTCTGGTTATTATACCTTTTACTAAATTTTCTCTTGTTGTGCTCTAAGAACTGATTTTTCTGATAAGCTTAAAATTTTTTTTTTTCAAATCATGCATTGCATTTTAAGCTTCTCTTTAAACAAAATGTTTCCAGGCTATAAGATTTAAAATATATTAAGCAAATAAAACGTAAAATGCACCTTTCAAAATTCCACCACCATACCACCAAAATCCCCTGTAAGAGCCCTGAACAGGAACTTGACTTTGAATACCAGCAGAGATGAAATGGTGTCATAATCAGCATAAGTGCATGTGGACTATTCACCTAGATCAAACACTTTGGTCGTATACTCAATTAAATTTAAATCCCATTATATAATGTCTACCAGCCTCATTTTATGCAATTCCCTAATTTAATGGCTTGGTATTAGCCTTTTTCCTTTTTGCACACATGGACTAATTTTCATGGTGCTCAGTCCCTCTGGGAAGTAGGTCATTAAAGTCAACTGGACGGAGACAGAAACTTAATACCTAAACAGTCTTGCAGAAGGGTCAGAATCGTAATAATAATGTAAAACAGTTTTTCACTCATCCTACTTTGCAATATTTATGAAATTTCTCCGTCATATATACATATATTCATTAATCTTGGAGATTACAAAATAGAACTCTAAAGAAAGTTAACATCCTGTTACAATTAGGTTTGTGAAAGTGAAATAAAATAAATCAACAAAACAAAAATCCCAATTAAAAAATTAAAAGTCGCAAGTATAATAATTAGCTACCAAGACAACAGTTGTTTTACACTGAAGAAGTAGAATTATAATATTCATATTACCTTTCTCAATGTGTATTCTTTTTGTCTCATGTCCCACATCATGACCAGCCAGATCACCCTCCTTAGGTCCAGGCAGGACATTAGGTGACAAACCCATCAGCATTTGGTTCATAGATAGCCCATTCTGATGGACAGCTGCTAGACACAAGCACAGGCAGAAAGAAATCATATTAACAATACTCTTTTTTACTTATTTTACATAGTTTTCCTCCTAATTATACAAGACTGCTAACAATCATTAAGTTATTTAATTAGTGCTATCAGGATCCACATAGAGGAAAAGTTTCTTCCTGTTACTTCTAGTTTAAAACAATCAATTTTAAAAAGAAAGTTCACTAACTTTGGATAATGTTGGAAATATTTAAAGTTGGATAAAGTTGCAAGTATGTTCTTGCTTATTTAATAAAAACTGTTAAATTTTTAGTTCATTGTACAAAAATTCTTGAGTACCAATATTTTCAATATGCAGACCCTAATAACTTCCTTAAATGAAGCATTGTGGCCTTTCAGATGATATAGACCGCTTTTCCACATATTCTGTGCAACAGTAGGATTGTTTGTTTGCTCATCAGACAGGTTGGAAAGCTCTTTCCAACAATGAGTCTCAAACACACCTCAGAAACTCAGGTAGTTTATATTTCTATGCTTTAATCCTGAAAAAATTGTATTTTCAAGAGATTGATGACATTTTAATATTTTATTTTTTTAAAAAAATATGGAACCCATATTCCTGTAGTAGTCATCTTAACCTGGCTGGCACCACAAACGATGTACTTAAGAATCAGGTGTGATGTTAACAAATCAGATAGGTCCGAAAATAATTATATAATAAATAAATAAGTTACTGAAGTGATCCACTGCTTAAGGAACTCTGTTATGTATGTTCACATAGAAGGAAAAAATTTGCAAAGGTCCCACTCCTCTCTGTAAATTATAAAGTAAGCTGAACAGTACAATTTCTTTTTTGTTAAAAAAGGGTAATTCCTCAGCAAAAACAATAAATATCTCTTGATTTAGATTTTTGGGGTTTGTTTTGTTCGTTTTTTGGGGTTTTTTTAAGAGAACAGTGGAAAAGGTCTTCATTAGTTGTAAACAAATATACTATTCAATCAATTAAGAAAAAACATTTAAATCTACATTTCTGAGGGTTTCTTTCAGAACTTCAGTTATGAAGCCTGCAGTGGGTTGATCTTGGCTGGAAATTACGTGCCCTCCTAAGCCACTTTATCACTCCCCCTCCTCAACTGGACAATGGAAAGAAAATATAATGAAAGGCTTGTGGGTCAAGCCTGGGGAAATAGATAGGTCACAGTATATGGGATGCCAATTTAATCTGCTCTCTGAATTGTCCAAGTGATAAGAAAACAGAATTTTCAGCTTGTCATAGTCAGGCCTCATTTCTTTTCTTTGGTAAGTCATTTTTCATCACACACTAATGAAAGATCTCTCATCTGAAGGTCAATGAAGAGTCAGCTTCCTGCATCTGACGAGAGCCTGAAGAGAAGCAGCCTAAAGGACACGTGTTGCATCTAATCAATACGGCCACCTATTTCATACAGCTCCTTCATGGCCCTCTACGTGTGTGCCAAACCCTCCCATTTCACCTACTGACAAATTCCACTGTGGAAGGATGATTGAAATGCACAAAGACCTGCAACACAGCAGTATTAAAGGGAATGGACAAGTGTAATATGAATTTAAGTACATATCAATAAAATAGTATGCATTTAGAACCTTAGTTTCCATTGCTGCACTGGAATATCACAGAATTCAGTCTTTGCCGTATTCTGTATATGGAACTGTGATAAAAATGGCATCACTCTGGGACACCACAGTTTAATTTCACTCTGTCCCCTGGGAGCTATGAGGTGATAATATTCTTTCTATCATATTTCTCACCATTACAAAATTTTATATTTAAAATTTTCTAAACTATGCACATTTTTAATTTATTTAACCCAATTCTTCTCTTTACCAAGCAATTCTACCATGTAAAATATTGCTTATGCAGTCAAATTCAATTTAGAAATCAAAACAGAGTAACCAGATTAAATAAAATTCAATTTCTTTTAAAAATGTTTACACTATATGTTCAGTTCTAAAACTAATCTAGCAAATTGCTTCTTGCCTGCAATTCTGTATTTCATTGCTCATATCTTTATGTTTAATATGACATGATGGCAGTTTATATCACTACCTGTTAATGTAGCATCAGATATTATGATACTGTAAACTGGGGAACATAATGTTGGGAGATAGTTATTGCAGCTGAACTTCTGAACATGATACATATGAGATCTATTTAAGGCGAGGGAATTTTGATTAGAAAAACAAGCTGCACCTAATCAAGTTTAAAGTGGTGAGAAGGAGAAGAATGGGACCTACGGATTCTGTCTGAAGAGCTCTCGGTCCGTGCAGGCGAGCTGGACACGCTGCTGCTTCGATGAGAGGACGGATGGCTGCCAGGTCTTCGTCCCTCTTCAAGAGAAGGAGCAGGAGAAGGGCTGTCTGGAACACGTTCCTAGTCCACACAAAAAGTCATTGAGAAAAAACGGCAAAGTTAAACCGAGCCTCTTGTTTCCAAACATCACTTCCCCAAACTGGATCTCCCTTCCAAATGACAACCTATTCATTCCCCTTTTGAGGTTTCCAGGGTTTGCAGAGAATTCTCAAAAGAAACTTGGAAACTTAAGGACACTAGACCTTACATTTAAGCATGCAATATGAGCACAGCTCACCCTATTAGGCTTTTTACTGCCTTCTGGACTACTTAAAAAAGAAGAGGTTTGTTCTGCTTTGGGGTTTTTATTTTGGTTTCTGTTTGGTTTTTGGTTGTTTGGTTGGGGTTTTTTTGTTATTGTTGTTTTTTGTGGTTTTGTTTTGTTTTATTTTTCATTTTCTTTACTCATATCATCATGCAGTTGAATTGGAAGTATACATTTTGGCATACAGATGTCAGCCTTACAGGATGAGGAATTATGTATTTCTGTAAATAAAGACCAGGTACTACTGTTTTATCTCAGTTATCACGTTGACTTTTACTCCACATCTTAATTTCAAAGAGGATTCTTGAGCAATGAGATCTTATGGAACTGTAAAGGATCATAAAGAAACTATAACCTCCTTACTGTACCTGTACCAGTAACATGACTTATGAAAATCGAAATGTCTATTTTTACCATGGAACACAAACTTGGAATGATTCACACTTTTTGGATGAATGTGGCCATGTCACTTCAAAATGGGGAAAACCACCATTCATGTTTTTCTATCCAGGGAAAGCCTGGCAGGGTAGACAAGAGAAGCTATGACACACTCCAAAACTTGGTTTTGAAAAACAGAATGCGAGGACTGTGACAGTTTGAACTGCACATCTGCTATGGGAGTATTGCTAGTATGTAGCAGATAGATATATCTGATATTTACCCAGAAGTCCAACAGTAACAATAATCAAAGGGAGATAAGTGCAGAATAGTTCTTTCTAGAAAATTCGCTGTCTTTCCCTGCAGTTTCCTTTTTACTGCTGAATGTTCTCAAGACTCATTGCTAAAATATGTGAGAGTGAGGTTGTTTTGAGCAAATAGGGATAAAAATAAATAAATCCTATAAGGGAAATCTATTGGAAGGATTGAAGATGTTAAACTAGAGTGGTTTCTGGCTTGTTTTTTTCCTTTTGATAACTGAAAACCTAACTTACTATGAAAAAAACAATGAGCCTAAACCACCAATCAACAAACAACTGCACACATTCAACTCACTAAAAGCTTTTGGTAACGAAACATTACAATTAGTACGTGTTTAATAACACAAAATAAAACCTACTGTTGCAAATTAATCTTCTTGAAAAAAAACAGTACATTCCTCACACAGAAAAGTCCTTTTGGAGCAATCATTATGTTATTATGGACAGTCACTAGATAAATATTTATTTCTCTGAATACATTCCTAAGAAATTTTGCAATATCCCCAACTATAGTAATCAATAGATTTGTTCCACATAAGTTTCATTAAAAAGCATCTGCTGAACTTGAGATTCTGATTGCAAAGGGATTCAATGGGCATATTGATAGAGTGGGAGGAGATTTTTTAGAACAACATTTCAAGACATTTAAGTAGATTCCACTTTAATAGTCTTAGGTTTTTAAGTCAAAAACATTGATGAGGATAGCTTAACTGCATCATAGCTCTAGGCTTATTATGACTTTGATTGTGTTTATATGCCCATGAACTGGGTATTCAAGAGGAGGATTATAATGCAGATGTTTTCAGAATGCAGAAGATTTATTTCTTTAGATTTAGGAGGATTTAAGCATGCACAGTGTACAGATTTGATATAAATTAGAACACGGTATATTTAATCATTCATTTAAAATATAATTTCACTGTTTGGCATACAATGTATTGTTCTTAGAAGGGTTTCATTAAAATGAAATCCAGTGAGCATATAAGATTTGAATAGAGAGCTGCAGAGTAAATTAATTTATTTAAACAGCTTAATTTGTTTATCCTATTTATTTATGTGTGCTTTTACAGCATGTATTATGAGATGGAGCGAGCAAAAGGAATGCACAGGACAACGAAATATAATTACTGTACAAACAAAACAGATAATGAGTTTTATTCTCATATAATATGACATAGACAAAATCCATGAGAAAACTATATATCTTGGCTTTATCAATTAATTTGTAAAATACCCTTTAACTCCAATAAAACATGGGATTGAACTATACAGAAATGCAAAATAAAGCAATTTAGTACCTTAACTATTTTTTTTTTTATATCTTTGCTTCATAATTCCACAATCAGCAATCTGGTCTATAGCAATGTTTTGTGTTTAACAAATTCACTGCAATAATAAATGGCAATGCTACTAATAATAAATTGAAATACTTTGTTGCTCTAAAAAAGTCATAGTAATAAACTAACTGTGCTGGAATATCAATATGTTTTCCTTAACAGAGATTTTTGTGCAAAAAACATTAATTTGGTTTGTGGCAAAATATTAACTCAACTTTAGACTCTATTTAAAATTTTTCAAAAAAGGAAATATTCAAAATTGTGTTCATTAAATAATGTAGATCAGAGCTCTTTTTTCACTTCTACAGCATGTCACTTTTGTACAAGTTACTCTACCTGAAACAGCAAAGAAATAGAATTTACTGATTTATAATTCTGGCAGCAAATCACTTAGGATTCTGCCCACCACCCAATACTTTTTCTAAAACTTGCCTACTCCCAGAGGCAGATGTTTCTGGAGAATCTGGTCTATAACCTCTTACTATTTTTTTCCTCCATTTTTTGCTTTCCTATTTCTTTCTACAGATACTTACAGGTAAAAAGTAGTGTGAAAAATTTAGGTAATATGCAGCAATTTAGCATATGGTTGACCAACATTTCAGAATTGTTAAGACTCTCATGTATCAGAACCAGAGGCTTTACTAAGCAGTGGACAACAAACTCTCAGGGGCCAAATTTGAAGCATTCCTTATCTTGGCACTCTTTACAATTTGATCCAAATCATGAATCCTAAGCATTTACGAATATGATATTTACCTCCTCCAAAAATGTTCCTACCACAAAGAAATTTTCACTCTAAGGGAACTCTAACACCCTTTCTTGTACTCCTACTCCACTGACAAGTTGCACACCCTCAATGTCAAGCCCATTTCATAAATAACAGTCTTTTTCCTGTGACACTGGGTATTTTATTTTATGCTGTAAAAAACAGGTAAAAGATTTCAATATCAGAGATTTTAACACATGAGATTGATGTCATCTCTAGAATTGAAATCACTCCAGTTTTGTTCCAGAATATTACATAACATTCACAAAATCACACTGTCTTGGTTTTTCTTCAAGTAAAACAAGAGAATCTTTATGTATTTATCAACTTTTTTCTAAATTTCTCAAATAGGCAAATACTATAAAGTCTTACTCTGAATGTTACTTTTAAGTAACTTTTTTTAAAATAATTATTTTAATACATTAGTAATGGTATTCAAGAGGCCAGAATTACTTTTTTCTCTATATCATTTTTTTTTCCTCTTACCTGTTCACAAAGTTAGTTATACAATATTATTTTCTTTTTTTACCTATTTTATTTCTACTTCAGCAGCATGTTTTCACTGTTTGAAAATTGCTTCATTACCAAAAGCCTTCCTCAAAATATATCAAAACACAAAGCTGGTGAAGTTTAACTGTTGTATCATTATTGAAGACATTTCAGGTAATATATGTAGGAATAATCTTTCTGCTCCTAAGAAGACAGAAAAGTACGTGGTATCTTCTAGATTGTCAACACCTCAGTTTTCCCACAAATATTCTTTATTCTTTGACATTCTTATTCATTAGTAACAAAATTCTTGACCATTTCTGACAAAGTTTGAATACATGTTCTTCCAATAACCAAACCAGATTTGCAAGCAGTCTTCACCTCCTGCCTATTTCTATCCTACAAGTATTTAATCTCAGCTGTCTACTATCTTCTAGTTTACTTTGCCATAAGACTCATCTCTTTGGTTTAGTCATCCTTTAATTTTAGACATGGAATGAGCTCTAGACATGCAATTAAGTCTTGCTCTAGAGGTATATGATTTTTTCAACTATTTAGTTGTCTTGATCTTCTTCAGTATTGAACAAACTCCTTCAAAGATGTTTGTGCTTTAAGTCATTGAAGTGCAGAGGATAAAGTAATTTATTTTCAAGGTCATACTTTCCATAGTTTAGGTAATTTAGGTAATTTCAGGTAATTGTTTAGGTTGGAAGAGATATTTAAAGGCCATCTAGTTTCAACCTGCCACAGGCAGGTGAACTGACCACTAGAGCAAGTTGCTTAGAGCCCCATTCAGCCTGGCCTTGAACACTGCCAGGTGCAGCAGCAGCAGCAGCAGCTGCTTTCTATCATGTCTATGCCCTTTTCACAATGGCTCAGGCATGAAAACTCCCCTCTGGGAAAGTACTGGGACATTCACACATTGTCTGAAGGTATTCACCCCTTCTGATGGGCCATAATTGACCCAACTGTGCTGATGGGGGAGGCAGCTGTGGTATCTTGGGAGGTGCAATGGATCATAAAAGACTCCTGAAGTGTCCTGTGATCCACAGCCTTACACCATTCAGTTTGAAAACTCCCCACCTCAGGAGAGGAACCTGGGCATTCCCACCAGAACCTGAGCATATATGACTGTGGAACTTCGGTGTTTTGTGGGTTTTTCCTGTTCCTGACAGATCAAGATAGCCACAATCGCTTCAGCCAACAGACACTAAAATTGCAACAATCAAGTCTTGTTGTGATGCCAGTGGGTGGTGATATCTTTCTATTATTTTCCTTTTTTTTTAAGAGGTATTTTTATGCTTTTATATTGCTGTATTGCTACAGATAATAATAATTAAAATGGCTACATATGTGCTCCCCATTTCAACCAAATTATCCTAAAATAAACCCTACATGTGTATATTTACAAGCATGGATAATTCAGTGTCATTTCACTCTAATCTGCCCCAAGGAATCTATTAACA